GGTAGACAGGTAAAGATCACTGTAATTGATACTTGTGCTGATATGGCATATCCCAAGAACAAAACAGCCTAGTTAGTCTGGATGCCTTGATGAGGCGCCTTGTCATAATACTGTTGATGATAAGAGACAAGAGTGTCAACGCTATGATTCACGTTGTACAGAGTAGATTACTGTACTAAACTGCTTTAAATGTAAATATTTTTACTAATCGCTCGGACGACTATTGCGGAATTCTCATCATATTATAAATCGAAGCATAAGAAGTAACAGATACCGGCAATTCTGAGTCGCTGAATATTTATACCTAATTGCCTTACACCTTCAAAGAAAATGAGCAGTGATATCTTCTACGTACTGTATATGGACTCATGATCACTCACCTGAGTCGTCTGCTCGTGCGAGCATACGAACAGAATATCACTTCTGGTATGCTATTCTGGTATGCTATGCTATGTCCTGGTAGAACTCTCGGAAACTTGCAGTTGTTCGTTCCACAAATTCTGGACAACTTGTGGTCTTACGCAGTTCCCATATTTTTAACCAGACGTGTCAAATATGAATGTTATTGTAAGAGCACTACGTGAAAATTCGGTATTTAATCTTTGCCCTCGGTGCGTACCGGCTTGCAGCTTCTCAAGCAAGAAGCCATGAGAATTCGGAAAGGTCACCAGAAATGCTTATGGTTATTAAATTCTTATTTCTGGTGGCAAAACGTGGGAAGTGGCGCCGATCAAGCTAAACAGCACAGTAACACAACCACGGCCATCGACATGGAGCTGTTACTTGTATTTTTGCTTGTTCAGCTGTTGCGCTCGATCCAGAATCGCGATGTCCTTTTTACACCGGATTGTTGATCATTCCAGTGTTGCACCTGGTACTTGAGATGCTAGAGTAGTAACATTAACTAGGTAGGAGTTGAACATAGGTAATGATGTAGCTCCCAAAACTTAATTCAACTGAACCAACCGATCAGGCTACAGTATGCACTATATCATGAAATAATATGTATGTGCACGATGATGTTACCGTATTTACCCTGAGCTCGGCGAGACTTCCAGCAGTACTCGTACTTATACTTCGAATGCTGCCTTATGGGCTCCCCTGTATTACTCTCCCTTATCTGGGCTCCCGGCTAGTTAGCAATACCCGTCAAATTGAATTTATCGGATTATAGCAAAACCCTTTTCTACTTCTTTCAACCGGATTTACAAGTGAGCACACCAAAGAATTCCGAAATTTCACATCCGATTTATATTTATATATATTATATATATAATAATATTTTCATTAATTTCAACCGGATTTGCCAATGAACAAACTGAAAAATGCCGAAATTTCTTATCACCGAAAATGCCGAAATTTCTTTTAAATTTCTTATGCCGAAATTTTTTTTATTTTTTCATGGGGTTCTTAGTGCATTTAAGCGGGCGACGTTTAGAAAGATCTTAAATTTAGAAAGATTTTGAATTTTAGAAAGATTCTGAATCTGCCGTTGATGCAACCTGAGCATTTTGAAAGAAACTAAATGCTACAAAAGTACTGGCAAAATAAGTATTTTATATAAATCAAAATTTTCAGTCAGGCATAACACTGATAACAGCTGCGAAAGTGTGAGTTATAACGCAACCGCCCATGTAGAGGTTTGCTCATATTGCCCGGGAGCCCAGATAAGGGAGAGTAATATAAGGGGAGCCCATATAAGGCAGCATTCGAAGTATAGTTTTTTAGTTATTTTTAAATGCATTAATTTTTCACGAGATGTACTTGCGGAAAATTCATCAACACAGCGTTCTGTGCTGTGCACTGATTTCAATTTCAATGATATACCAAATAGTGGCTGAACTTAGTAGAAACTTGTCAGTAATCATTGTACTGGCCACGAACGACGACTCCGCGGGCTATTACACAATGGCTCCCGCCCAAGACGCCGCGCTGGAAATTCTAACTAGCCAGTTTTCTATTCTGCACCAGATTACCATAAAGCGCTGGGATTATCATGGTATGGTTGATAATTCGGCTAGCGATTTCAGCGATAAATGCGAAAGCGCAGTCGTTCACATCGCCGACAATGTGGGAAAGGTGTATTCTTGCGAATCTGCTGGCATCCGGTCTACGAAAGATTTGACGGTTCTGATTAATAATGGTGCGGTCATCAAATGTGTGAACTTGTTAAGAAAGTTGAACCACTTGTGTTATCATCTTATATTACGTTTTAGAATGGTGCGAGCTCGTTGCAATGGAACTGGCAAGATTTGCGTCAGGTCGGCCGAATAATGTGCTAATACAAGCCACGTTACCAAGTTTAAGTTTAAGTAGCGGAGATCGAGCAAAATTGTGCGTAACTGCTGGTGCCACTATGATTTTGTCTTGACTATTACATATGATTAATACGGTAGAAGAAAGTGCATTTTATGACATCGTCACATACCTACGAGTATCTTTATAAAAGTTTTCAAATGAATATCTAAGATTTGCGCATTGACTGTAGCTTCTGCAGGGTAGATAGATAATGCTGTATGCTAGATAATTTTGAATTTAATCTGATTTTGTTTTCAGTCGTTCCATTACTGTAACTTACAGATACATACGGTACAGATAATAACTGGTAGCACGGTTAACGCTTAGGTGCATATATTTTATGCAAGTATAATGGTAATTTTGTAAGCGCCTTGAAGGGAAAGGTATTCAATCTTTCTACTGAGCAGTGATTACTAGTTGAAAACTTCTGCATAAAACTATACATATGGCCATATGGTAGCAGGTACGAACGTACAGTCTGTACAGTTATACGAAACGTTATTTAGAAAATGAAGTTTGCGGTAACTCTTGGTCGGTTACCCACGCGCATCAGCAAGTAGTCCGCGATTTGTCGGTTTACAAAACCCCGAAAAAAATAACTATAGACAACTTTTATTATACTGCTATCCTAATCCGATACGTAAAATATTTGCACCTTTGAAGAGGCTTTTGTGTGTATACAGTGGACTGCGAAAACCTGTAACATTCGGTCCGTGACCGAATGACCAATCTAAATAAATGACCAAGACCAAATGACCAATAAACAGGAAACGCACAAAATTTGAACACTTGCACGTGCGCATTTCAACGAAAACCATCAAGCGATATCTCAAACAAAGAGCAAATTTCAAGAATTTTGGTACCAAACAGTGATCCTTTATGAGACGTAAGAGAAAAGCGAGCTATTTTAGTTTGTCGTAGACAAAGCATACGATTTCTGTGAAAACTGAATCAAAACCGTGGATTCAAATCCTATGCTATGTCTACGAGAAACTTTAGGTGCGTCGATTCTCCTTAGGTCCCATAAAACAACTTGCTTGGTATCAAAATTCTGAAATTTGTTTCTCTTCGTTTGAGATATCGGTCGATGGTTTCGTTGGAAATGCGCAAGGTAAGTGTTAATACTGCAGGCAGATGGCCAATCACGAATTTGGCTGTTTGAGTACAGAAAAGTGCCTGGTTGCGCATTGTAACACCTTTTCGCAGTCCACTGTATGATCAATACAAAGCGCATATGATCAATAATAACTGCCGTATGATGTCGGATCCGGCGCTTTATGTGCCAAACACAATTTGTTCGTCATAACTTTTTTCCTACTGTCTGTCAGGAAATTCATGGAATATCAGATCGGAAGGCCATTTAATTCGTACTACAGGAGAAACGTCACTGGCACTGTGATTTACTCTAGACTTATTATGTCTTCATAAAAACCAAACTTATTATGTCTTCATAAAAAAGTCATTGATTCATAATTTTATAACTACCTTAAATGCGCTACACAGTGAGCACTAACGGTGTACGCGTAAGATATTAATAGAACTATTGGGTGTACCAACACTTTTACAGGAAAGCCTGTTTAACCCTTCGTCTTAGTACAAAAATCGTACAAGTACGGATAAGGGAACCGGTATGCTAGTTTCCTATAGGGTGAGCTGAAAACGTCAGCTCCAAGGCCCTCCCACACCTCCGTTAAACACAGAAGTTAAGGACAAGTAGAAGGGTTTCCCAAACGGGAAACAGTCGCACCTGGACTGTTCAGAAAAATGTGAACTAGTCGTGGCGTTGAATGGCGCAGATCGATCATAATGATCAGATTTTTTGCCGTCCATTTGTTGTTGTATGCAGAATTATTGGCAAATGCCGTATATTGCGATAATTTTATCAATCTCACCGTGGTAATCATTACACTGACCAACGACGATACTTGCGGATATCAGGTTATGCGACCGGCGTATGATGTGATATTTCAAGATATCGAGGAAGTGCTTGTTACTGGCCACTTACGACTCAATTTGACCCCACTGGATTTAGATATTTCTGACCATAGCAAAGTATCCACGGGTTCTGCAGAATGTGTAGCGTCAAATGATAACATTTTGCCGGCATGGGCCGATTTCTATGAAAATCATCAAATGGTTTTTGAGGATACATTGGGGACAAATGATATGGTGGTGATTGTCAGTGCAGACTGGTGTAACGTGGCCCCGGTGCATTTAGCCAACTTTGCAGCAGGTTAAATTTGTTAAGCAAATTATTTAATTAGGCACTTACCAAAATACAGCATGAAAATAATTACTATAGATATAAATTTCGTTATGAGATCGTAATGTACGCTATAGATTATATATAGATATGCTGTTATTTCCTATAAAACAATGCAAAACTGCAAGTACTAATGTAACTGCGCACAAGGTCGGTTGCCCATACTGTCAGTGCTGCCGGAAGTGCGCGCAACCGACCTTGTGCGCGGTTACATTAGTACTTGCAGTTTTGCAGTTGTTTTAATAGAGACAGATAAAATATTCATATCAGCAGGCATATATGTAACTATTATTTCAGTAGTACTTAACTAACTCCTGCTGTGTTTCTCGGAATTTACCAAACTCCATTAACTTATTTATAATTTTTTAGCCACTGATACGGTTTTCCTGACAACGAACCCAGCCAACTTTGATCTAGCCCATTTCGAGAAATTTCCACGATGGTCCAGCTGGGCCCACTGCCCGGCACCGATATGGTGGCCGCCGTGACCCAAGTTCTCCTGGATAATCAGTGGACCAAAACCTGGGCTTGTACTGTCCGCCAGTCGGCATGAGCTGGTCGGAGTACTTTTGTGATGCATTCATCAAAGACGGCTTGTATAACAGGATCGATGTCCAGCAAGTGTACATTCCCCATGCGTACACCAATCTGGCGGTATTTGGGAAAGAACAATACCGTGGTGTACTGAATGAACTGCGTAATCACACGCGAGGTGAGGTGCTAGTGCTGTATTTGTTTAGTATCTGTATAACTAGAAGTGCATTTTTAAAATTAAAACCGGCATAATGCAGAATAATAGTATTAAGCGGTTCTCCGTTGCTGATGTACTGCCATAAATCTGCTTATGGATAATTGATTTTATACTTTAAGTCACAGGCTGTATAAACACTGCTAAAATTGCCAATCCGGTTTGCTGTCTCTCGCAAATAACAATTTCATTCTGATGTTTGCAGTGATCCTTGTCTTCATCAACCCACCTCTGCTGCGGGAATTCATGGTACGTGTATATGTACAGATGTATTGTACATACTGTATCTTGTGTTGTCTCGTAGCTTATTCCTTCTGGTGTGAAACGCAGCGGCTGCAACCATATTAATTCAGTTTTCTGGCTTCTGGCCATGAGGGAATTAGAAAGCCATGCATATCTGTGTATACTGCCAATGAAATATGGAAAATCTTTTCAGTTTTTACAGTTTTTGCAGTAGAAATTTGTTCATATTAATTTTTCTTTGCTTGTTTTTGCAGATTACGGCTTACGAATTAAACATGACAAATGGAGACTTTGTAAGTAATATTAAGGGAATGCACTAGTAATCTGCTTCCGTTTACCGCTGCTGATGTTTTCTTTGGCAGTGGCTAACAAGGCATGGTATTAAAAATTCTGCGAAAATATTATGTCATTTTGGTGTAAGTGTAAACGAAATCAAGATTTTCTTACAACAAATTCCTAGTAACTGCCTGTACAACACGATGCACTTTTCTAGGTCTTTTTATTGATAAAATATCTCAGAAACTACAATAATATTTGCGGATTAGGTCAACTATTACGTGTAACGCAAATTAAAATTTTATTTATTTTGGCTAGATTTTTTCACCTTGGCGCTGCAATAACACCCGGTAGTCCGTATTTGCTCAGTTGGAAAGCGAATGACGCGGATGATGAGGTGCGTTAACATTCCCGGTGGTTGTAAATGTTTTGCGGAAAAATCCTCGATGCGAAACATAATCTTGTTGACAGAAAGCCAGGAAAGCCTTTGAATCGGTAATTATCTCATCGGACACACTCTTCGAATGGGATGACCTGGAGGAATTTATCAATAAAACCGCTCAAACATCCCAGAGTGTTTACAACATCACTGTCCCGCTCAATTACCGGGTACACATACAATGCTCACACGTACAATATTTACTTCTTCGCTTAATGATGATTTAACCGTCAATGACGAGCGTTTTATTCTTTTGCGTAGAAAAACGAAGCCACGGCGCTAATGTACGATCTGCTGTCGAATTTTGCCGAGGTATGTGTTAATCCTTATTGTTCAGTACAGAAGAGAGCGGAAGTGGTTGTTTGTTTAATGCCTGGTGCTTCCCTGGTTGTACAGTACCTTAATCGATCTGTCGATCAAATGGCCAACATGACACCGGCACAGTTCGCGCACAACCTCCGCCAGCAGATGTATAGCAAACGGTCAAGTTCCACCCGCGTTGCCAGATCCGGCATGGCCAGCTTCCTCATTCCGTTGCTGCGCTTGAACCCCCGCAACGGCAAATTCGAGGTAAATGATTATTAATGAATTAATCGTGATGCTTGTAAGTCCCAGCTTCTCCGGAAACAAACTGTATTCTGGCACTAGTATCAATAGAACATGTTTCGCAATACGCAACAACGAGTGCGCTCTCATACAACAATTTTAACTCCTTTCGGAAATTAATTGTCACCTTTGACGTCTGCTCAGACCACTCGGGCTTTTATTTACTGACATGCGTAATAGTAGTATCGTTTTGCTGTACATTGTAATGTTCATATATGAGCTTTTGTATCTTTAGGAAATGAGAAATCACGTACATAAAATGTATGCCCTGAAAGGCAAGTTTCAAGTTTTAGCTAAAAGCGTTTGGACAAGCACAACGCAGAAAACAAAAAAGTGAAAAAACTGCCTAAAATAAGTAAAATTACACAACCTGTACATCTAAAACTGTTAGCGGAACTCATAGATATATTAGTGCTTGCCGGTTAATTAAAGATAAGATTCTCGAGTATCGCAGGCGATTACCACCGAGTAGGTATTTTGATTATTCGTGCTCTGCAGCTGGCTGCAAAGTATGATACGGAAATACAGAAACTTCACATTGTGGATCCGGAGCTTTGGAAATGGCATAATTCCACAGCGTTTCCGACCAATGATCCCAAATGTGGATTTGATGGACAGCATTGTCTGGCTTTAGGAAGTAAAGTGAAAAGACAGGAAACGAATTTCAATATAATCACATAAAAGCAACGTTCAGAGTTGTGCTTGATATGAATTAGATGACTGTAATAATTATTACGATTCCCTTCTAGATGACCTGACCATCACACTGTTAGTACTCGGTCTTTGCGCCCTAATAATTATGGCGTGTGGAGCTATACACTATTATCGGTACGAACTTTCTGTGACCTTTGTTTATTTGGAGATTAACAAATTTATTATTATTGATGGTTCATTTTTGTTGTTTTTTTATTACGAGATTATTTCAATGCTATTTCACTTTAGGCAACGGATAAAAGAGCAAGAATTTCGGCATATGTTTCTTTATAAGCCCGGTATAACGCCATCCACCGGCAAATATTCCATCAAATCACACGAAAGTGTCTGTGCATTAACGTACCATGGACCGTCGCTGCAATTAGACAATCAGCAGGTTTTGTCCATTTCCCTTCCGGATAGACTGAACGTCAAGCTCTTGTCGCGGAATAAAGCCTTTCGGAACATAAGTTTAACGGTAAGTCGGTAACCGTCGTTAGTTATTCACCATGCAGCTGACAAAGGTAAATATTGATTACTCTTTTTTTTGACAGGTCCATGGTTTGTACCACGCCAATGTCGGGCGGTTTTATGGGGTAAAAGTTGAAGAGAAAGGCCCGTGTGAATTATTAATGGAGTTCAGTCATCGTGGCACCTTACATGACGTCCTCAGTCGAAGAACAATTTCACCGATGTGGCCGTCCGGCTGTCGTTTCTCTATGACCTCGTCAAAGTAAGCGCTTTTTTTGTATGGAATAAATGGCCTACAGGGATCGCGTGACAGACTTTTGCCACTATCGCAACGCGTTTCATGATTCGTCTCTTAGTGCGTAAAGTAATTTGTCCTGATAAAATTCAGCTGATTAAATTTGCGCTGAATAAGTGATCAAATGGCCGACATTTATAACAATATTGGTTGCATAATACGCAATTCCAGGAAGTCCCATAATTTAAATATATTGATTCACTAACCTCTTCCTTAAAAACTTAGAAAGTTTTGAACTGTGAAAAATGAGCATAATAATTTATTTTATGTTTCATAAATCAAAGAATGTTTAAATACAAAATACTTTGTACCAGAAAGTTTGTTTATATGGTGTCTGCTCATAACGGCCTTGAGACACGGAAAATCCACTATGTATGTTAAATTTAACGGTTCAGTATACTCGTACTAATAATTCACAAATTTGAGCTAATAATATTTTATTAATGTTCTACAAATTGTGATGTAGGGATTGATGTATATACACAGTTCGGCGCTGGGATACCATGGAACGCTAACCGCTACAACCTGCTTCATCGATAGCCGGTTCACGTTGAAAATATCGCACGCCGGCTTCGACCGAATATCCCAAGCGGTGAACACCGAGCCGAAAATGATGCGCGTTAAACAAAGCAAAAACCATTTGATAGTATGTCGTGCGGATGACGTGCACGGTTTTGGCATCATTGCATTTGATGCCTTAAAGCTAAAAGGTCACTGCACAATATATTTACAGTTTACTCCGCAATGGTCCCGGTAATATTCTGTCTTGATTTGTAGCTTTGTCGTCACTCACCGAGGATGGAACGGTAAAGAAGACCCCACTGGAGATCGATATTGAGGATTGTATGCGGAGCGACTACAATCTACGACCGCCAATATTTGGGATTAAGCGATCATTTCAAAAGCTTCTAATCTGCCGCAAAACGTGGTTTCGCACATGCTCAAACTGCTTGACCAGCAGACGCAACAGTTGGAACATCTGGTACAGGCCAAAACCGCCACATTGGTTGAGGAAACTACCAAAACCGATATGCTCCTTGCCGAAATGCTTCCAAGGTACAGCAGTACTGCTATTGGCTGCTGTCAATTACAGATAGTTAATTCTAAATTCAAAGGGTTGGAATGCAGAGCATTTAATTATTTTATTGAATTTTTAGATCCATCATAAAACAGCTACGCAATAAGGAACCACTCAACGCGGAATCCTTCGATAGTGTATCCATTCTATTTAGCGACTTACCCGTTTTGCCAAGCTAGTAATGAAGTGCTCGCCACTAGAAGTAATTGACCTTTTAAATCGCACACATTCGGCGTTCGACGAGGTCGTACCGTACTACGATGCTTATAAAGTGGAAACCATCAACGATAGTTACATGGTAACACTTCCTAAAGTTAAAATAATATGCTGATTTATGAGAAGTGATGGCCTTTTCTCAGATATCTAGCGGTATACCAATGCGCAACCATAATCATGCGGATGTGTTATGCTTACTGGGACGGGCGATTCTGGAACGCTGTAAAATTTCAGCCGACACGACGGACGACAAAATGGAATTAAGCATCAGAATCGGGATAAATTCGGGTAAGCAAGTTAAGTCGACTTAAAGCCCAATTAATAGTGCTACTCTTCACGAGCTTTCGTAATAAGGGACGCCTACGTGTATGCACAGTGCAGCAGTGTGTGTAGCTGCACCAACTGTTGCGGCCTAGGTATGTTAAATTCCAATATTGAGGCAAAGCATGCTGGAGATGGGCACCCCCAAAAACGCTACAAACGGGGTTTTCTCAAGTTGATGCTACAAGGACCTTATTACTTTCGTTTTGTAGAGAAAAAAATATGGATTATTCTAGAATCGCTTAAACAAAACAGTGAACAACGGCTAGTTCTAAAATCGAATCAGAAGCTCCATGTTATCTCCAGCAATTCACAGTAGCTATCAATCTTGGATAAAGCATAAGACTGAGCGTAGTGCACCGTTTGCAGTACACCTCACGCTGCCATACTTTAAAGTCGTACGATTGAGCACGTAGGGATCCCTTATTCCCGTTGTAAGTACTAAAGTAAAGCCTTTATTGCTACAGGTCCAGTAGTTGCGGGGGTCATCGGGACAAAAGCACCACGCTATTGTCTGTATGTATATGTTGGTAACGCGTTCCTACTGTGACGCATGACCCATTAGCATAAAGGTCAAATCGATGACATGCAATAACTGCCATTGGACTTTAGATTTGGAGATACCGTTAACACTGCCAGTAGAATGGAGTCCACCGGAGAAGGTGAGTTCTCCTGTTAATGCGCTTTCTGCGTACCGTATGTACTTGCGAAATTCTTGATTGCTGTTGCAGCGGGGAAGGTTCACGTTAGTCCCCTCACCAAAGCCTTGGCTGATATAAACCCATCGTTGGTTTTTGAATCCAGAGGGCTGATTTTCGTTAAAGTAAGAAATGGATCTGGCAGAAGTCACGGAAGTATAAAGAAGTTCAATAAAGGTACCAAACTGTTTTCGCTTTGCAGGGAAAGGGAGAGATTAATACATATTGGCTACTCGCATTGTGATCCTCTTGGTCAATACCGTCCGCCATACACTTGCAATGATTCTCCAAAAGTCTGTGATAATTCTGACTTACCGTGCCAGTAAAAACTGATCGCCACGGTGCCTCAATAATTTACACCGGCAATTTGTTGGTTGTAGAATGGTTATCAGTTCAGATAGTTATGCTTTTATAAAAAATGGGCAGTTTATATACCGTAGAGTTGTCCATTATGGCGTTACTTTGTCAAATGCAGTTTTTTTGCAGTTTTCGCATTTCTTACAGTAAATGCGATTATTTTCAGAACAAGTCGAACCGGTTATGCCTCTGCAGGGATTTTGATTTTTGAGTCATATGCACGATAAAGTACAACGTACTGTAGTTGAGCCAAATACATGTGGATATTTCATTAATAAGCTGCACCACAAAAACTATTATATCTATATTTACGCATAAAGATTATTCTGAGCTAGAATACTAAATAGGCACAGACGCCTCTAGATATGTTTCTGGCGACAATTCCTGCGCTAAACATTTTTGTATGAGCGGACAAATACGAAAAACTCGGTTGGAGTATCTACATAAAGCGTATTAGTGTGAGCACAATTCACAATCAGTTAGTTGCTGTACTATCAGAGCAAGGTGTTGGTCCATTGCCGTTGCTCTAGGTGTGCGAGAGGAATGAATGAACATTCCTTCCTCTCGCACACCTAGAGCAACGGCAATGGTTGGTCATAAAATTCACGAAACGTCGGTATACAGTATGTAGAAGAGCAAAGTACAGTACACGTTTTCATCTAATGGTACAGTACTTAAGTGCATGGAACAGCTGGTTTGTACACACTGAAGTTTGTACACAGTGTATTAATAATCGTGTTGCGATGACCCTCAAACCGCCACATATCACCGATGCTTATCATCGCAAACGCTATAAAAATTGCAAGCAGTCTGAATCAGACCCATTCTTGTGTGATAACCGTTCGCTGTTTAGCTCTGCATCCCTGCCCAACTCGCCTTTTTGAACCGATAGGTCTTGATCACCTGCAAACCTATCTACTTCCTATCAAAAGACACAGGAGAGGGCACAGTTGGTCAAACTGGTCAAGATGCATATGGTCTAAGTTGCCACATGAATGGGACAGTCGACTTTCCTTTCTTTAACTACCTTCTGTGTATGTGATGGTGTTGATGTGTATGTGATTTCTTTTCGCAAGGATCTGGTAAAAAGAAGGCCAGTAGTGATGCTTCTTCATATCACGCGGCAGCGGTTGTGATAAGACGACCGTTCTGTGATATGTAACTTTTCAGGATCGCCGCAACACGGTTAATATTGATGTCTTAACTTTGCTGCTTCGTACAGCACAAAGTGATAATTAATAATTAGTACTATATCGTTCGTACCATATCGTTTTGGTTTGCAAAGGCCCAACTAATCATATTACGCTGTAAACCTGTCTAAAATATCTCCATGCTATTCCTCGGAAGCTTGGTATTGCTTATTTACATCGGCAGTCAATGCTTGGATTTCCAAACTGACAAATTGTAGTCAAAAGCTTTGTCCTCATTTTTCTTGCGGATTTTTCTCCAAGACTCTACCATTAAAATGATTGAATTCGTCATTGGAGGTATAGTTCTGTTTCTGGGGCTGATTTATTTCCGATCAAAACGAACAGCTGTCAACAATCTTCCGCCCGGACCTCCAGGTTTGTCTTCGAGCAATAACACTGGTGTTGATATAAAAAAATATATAAATAGGTAATTAGATAAAGAGCATAATAAAATGATAGGTCTGCCGGTCGTGGGAAATCTGCTGCAACTGGGAAGAACGCCTCCGTTCAAACGCTTCATGGAATGGCGGAAGACGTATGGTGATACTTTCCTGGTTAAGATGGGCAGTGACTATCCTCTGGTGGTCATGCACGACTACAACACCATCAAAAAGGTCCTGAGCGACGAGGTCACCGCCGGACGGGATCAGGGATTTGTTTTCCTTAAAGAACTTGCAGGAAAAGGTCATTTAGTCAACAGTACTAGCCTGATAACTTACTCACACTCATATCAAATTCTAACAACGGCTTAACTGTAGGCCTAATATTAACGCAGGGAGATGTATGGAAAGAACAACGTCGTTTTGCTATTTCCACGCTGCGCGACTTCGGCATGGGCAAGACCTGGTTGGAAGATAATATTATTGGTGAAGTGGAGGATATGTGCGGTGTCCTGAGACAGCTCAATCAACAGCCCTTTGATCCCAAAACACTGTTATCCCACTCGGTCTCCAACGTAATTTGTGCTCTTGGTGTGTATGTATTATTACTTAATTATAACTGATAACAGAAGGATGAGCATCATTTGGATAATTACTGCATCGATTATAATATATCTTTATGTTACCATCATCAAAGTTTGAGCGATCAAGCTGTCCAAGTGGCAGTAGCGAAAGTTAAAAAATATTACACGAAAAATATAAGCAATTTTGCACCTTCATCCATAATTAACATGCGATGATGTGCATTCTATGTAAGGACATCGGTTTCTCGTCAACCGTTTGTAACTGCAGACTGCAGTTATATTTTCTTGATCGCCTGCATGGCATGTTGCAGTTTTCGGAAAACGGTTTGACCATTCGGATGCGAAATTTGGCAAATTGTCGACGCTATTCGCCGAAAATGTACAGGTCATTGGTCCCATTCTGACAATAGTGCAGGCGTTTCCTATCCTACAATTTATTCCCGGGCCATTTCGCCGTGCTGTTAAAATCGCCCAACGAAATGTTGCCGAACTACACTCATTCTGCAAACAGTTGATCAGTGAACACCAAAGCCAATCCTCATCGGAGAGTGCGGATGATTACATCGATGGCTACCTAAAAGAGGCCCAAGAACAAACACGAAAAGGCATTGTTAACAGCACCTTTACAGGTACAGAGTATGTAAACATCAAAAACGAAAAAAATCTACAAGTACCATACGTAAAGGAAAACTCATAAATTACTCGTACTTTTCAAAACAGAAGTATACCTGTAGAAACTTTAGAATTTTCATTGAAAACTGGCTACACCGAGATTTTAGCAGTATCCACACTCCGAGTGCATTACAGAAGAGCAGTTGATCATCTCCGTATTGGACTTGTTCGCTGCCGGAACGGAAACAACAGCAACAACCACCCTCTGGGCGTTGATCTTTCTCCTGGAGAATCCGGACGTCATGAGCAAAATGCAGAAGGAAATCGACGACCATATACCGCGCGATCGCTTTATTCGGATGGAAGATAAAGGTTACCAATAATAAACCCATCCCTATACGTACAACGCAACCGCGATAGGAAACACAAACTGGCTGTATCGAAGCATTCCGCGTATTAGTTGCATACCTAACACATATAAGGACGTTGCAGGTCTGCTGCCCTACACCGAAGCCGCAATTTTGGAAATCCAGCGATGCGCCAGCCTAGTACCACTGGGAGTTTTCCACCAAATACTGGCGGATACGGTGATTGACGGATACAATGTCCCCAAGGGTACACTGCTGGCTGCCAATCTGTACAGTATCCATCACGATCCACGCTACTGGAAAAATCCGGCCTCCTTCGATCCTAATCATTTTCTGGACGCTGACGGAAAGGTGGTACATCCAGCAGCTGGGTTCGCTCCTTTTGAAGTTGGTACGTTAAGTGTTTAACACTGGTCTGCTTACTAATGTACAATGAAAATGTTAATTATGTCAACGTGTATCCATACACCTTTCCAGGCAAAAGGTCATGCCTGGGAGAAGCTATGGCCAAGATGGAACTGCATCTCTTTATTGCCAACATAGTCAAGAATTTCAATGTGGAAAACGAGCCGGGAAAGAAAATTTCCCATGAAAATTACGTCTCCAGCTTCATTATCGGTCCATCGCCCTATAAAATAGTTTTTATTCCACGATGAGCGTATAATTATTTTGCTTAAGGAATGTTTTGTATTGATGGTTTACTATGTTGAGTGTGCTTAATTTTACGTTGTTATTTCTACAATGAATCGCATTAGATGAATAAGTAAGGTGTGCTTATTATTTTACAGTCGAACCGGCATTCTGCCTGTGCAGGAATTTTGAGCCATTTGTAGTACGGTAAAGTACTTGAGTCAAATGCATCGGAATATTTCATTTATAAGCTACAACACAACATTTATTATGATTAGGCATGGGATTATTCTAGGCTAGAATACTAAATACTGGCAGGTACCAACACCTACTCGTATACAGTAGAAACAATTATTCCATGTAACGGTGCCTGCGCTAGAAGCGGACAAATCCAAAATGCACCGTTGGACTGCTTATTCATACACCGCACAATACTGTTATCAGAATTCCTTTAATTATTACTGCTAGAGCACTGTTTTGGTTAATGGTTATCAAGTTCATGAAAAGTCGGCATGCATCGAGGAACAAAGTGCACATTTTTATCCAACTGCATAGAACGACTGTTTCCTGTACTTGTTGAACTGTTATTCTTGTTGGCGTCACAAATCTGCTGCAACTTATGAACTATAAGTATCGTCATTATTGTTTTGGTTTGCAAAGGCCAAATGAATGAACATGTTGTGAAACTATCGCAGTTATTACTCTAAACTCCAAAGCCTGGCGTTGCCTCAGTGCCTAGATCTGCCTGTATAGTTGCTGCTTAATAAGTTAAACTCTTTTATTGCGGTTAAAGCCTTTTCCCACACGTACTTGGATTGCGGATTTTACACGACTACCGTTATATCATTACAAAGCTTTTCCCGCATTTTTCTTGTGAATCCTCCCAGAATTTACCACTAAAATGATCGAATTCGTTATTGGAGGTATAGTTTTGCTTCTGGGGTTGATTTTTTTCCGATCAGAACGACGAGCTGTCGACAATCTACCGCCCGGACCTCCAGGTACTTCTCCGATCAGCATCAGGCAGTTTTGTTGCTTTAGTACAATACGTAAATACTTAATGCACTTATAACAGGGACAAAATAAAACAATTAATAGGTCTGCCGGTTGTGGGCAATCTGCTACAACTGGGAAGAACGCCTCCGTTCAAGCGCTTCATGGAATGGCGGAAGACGTACGGTGACACGTTTCTGATTCACATGGGCAGCCGCTTCCCCATGGTGGTCATGCACGACTACGACACCATCAAGAAAGTCCTGAATGACGAGGTCACCACCGGGCGGGACCAGCGATTTGTCTTTGTTAAAGATTTTGCAGGAAAAGGTCATATAATCGACGGAGTGCCGAATATAGTAGAAAGCTAATTTTTAACACCATGTATCTGAATTGCAGGTCTGATATTTACGCAAGGAGATTTGTGGAAAGAACAGCGTCGCTTCGCTATTTCCACGCTGCGCGACTTTGGCATGGGCAAGACCTGGTTGGAAGACAATATTATCGCCGAAGTCGAGGACATGTGTGGTATGCTGAGGAAGCTAAATCGACAGCCCTTTGATCCTAAAACATTGTTATCGCATTCTGTGTCCAATGTGATTTGTGCTCTTGGTAAGCGCATTAATTAGATTAAGTAAATGTAAATATTGTTAATTTGATCGTGGTCCCAGTTACCGTTGTGCAGACACTACATTGCAGTGACATTTATCTACAGTGCTGTGCATTTCTGTGTAACCGGTACCATCACGTACTTGTCTGATTCTGAAAGTTGACAAATTTTTTAAAAGATAAAATTTAATACAGTATAGACGATAGTTAAGCATCACCATCCATAAAGTGCCGAGTGCATATATTGTATGTACGGTTTTCATAAATCTTGTACGAATACAGTCAGATTTCATTTCCACCGGGAATTTTACAGTTTTTGGAAAACGATTCGACCATTCCGATGCAAAATTCGGCAAACTATCAACACTTTTTGCGGAGAACATACGTGTTATTGGTCCAGTTTTGGCAGTTGTGCAAGCGTTTCCCATCTTGCGATTTGTTCCCGGGCCATTTCGCCGTGCCGTGAAAGTCGCCCGGCGAAACTTCGGCGATCTATACGCATTCTGTAAACAGTTAATTAATGAGCACCAAAGCAAATTCTCATCGGAGAGTGCGGATGATTACATTGATGCCTACCTGAAAGAGGCCCAAGAGCAAAAACGCAAAGGAATTGTTGACAGCACTTTTTCCGGTAAGAGGCAAAAACGAATTTTGAAATTAACTTTACCACAGTACATGAAAAGAATTGCTACAGTATTACATGGGCTTTATACAAGAAAACAAATACTGTTTAACTTTTGAAACACTGGTGCAACCGAAAATCATCCGTAAGCCACGCGCATTACAGAACAGCAGCTGATTATTTCCGTATTGAATTTATTCGCCGCCGGGACCGAAACGACATCAACGACCACCCTTTGGGCGTTGGTTTTTCTCCTGGAGAATCCCGACGTTATGCGCAAGATGCAGAAGGAAATCGATGACAACGTACCGCGCGATCGCTCTATTCGGATGGAAGATAAAGGTCATCGATCATATACTCGTTACTATTACGTGCGGCACACTCCAAGCAAAATTGGCAGTAGCCATGCGATCCGCACGGGTTTGTAACAATAATATAGATGTGAGAGCTTATAGGCTTGACGTTTGTTAGGTCTGCTGCCCTACACCGAAGCCGCAATTCTGGAAATCCAGCGCTGCGCCAGCCTTGTACCCTTAGGAGTGTTCCACCAAACTCTGGCGGATACAGTGATCGACGGATACAACGTTCCCAAAGGCACACTGCTGGCCGCCAATCTGTACAGTGTCCATCACGATCCACGCTATTGGAAGAATCCGACCTCCTTCGATCCTAATCATTTTCTGGACGCTGACGGGAAAGTTGTACATCCAGCTGCTGGGTTTGCTCCTTTTGAAGTCGGTACGTTAAGCAGCTGACACTGTGACCTTAGTTTGTATAAAGATGTGCAGTCAACTTGTTATGTGAATGTGCTTTCGTAAACCCTTTCAGGCAAAAGGTCATGCCTGGGGGAGGCTTTGGCCAAGATGGAACTGCATCTCTTTATTGCCAACATTGTCAAGGATTTCAGTCTAGAAAACGAACCGGGAAAGAAAGTTTCCCATGAAAATTTTGTGTCCAGCTTTGTTCTTGGTCCATCGCCGTGTAAAATGGTTTTCGTTCCACGATGAACACGCCCTCATTATATGTGGAGAGCGTTTTGTACTGATGGTCTATTACATTTTGCGAATGTCTCTAAAATAACAGCAGAAAATACATAGTCGACTTGGAAAAGTTTTTTGTTGCGATTCATAAAGTGTCTGCATGTCTGGCTTTCGTGCAAGCATATTCATCCGCTTGTGAATCTGCGCTGGCAGATGGAACTTTGTAACTTCTTCTCAAGACTGAAAAAGGCATGAGAATATTTTGCAAAAGTGGAAAATTGCACACAGATATCTGTATATAAAACTGCATGTACCTAAGCATTTCATGCTCCTGAATTATATGAGCTAACTCAGCTAAGAGTTTTATCTGTTTTCGCTATCCGTCGTTGGAAGGCTTTCAACTGAATTCATATATGGACTGCATCTACTCTAGTAACGCTTGCGGTTCAAGTAGTTTTTCAACCAGGTACGATAACACCTAAAAATACATTTTTTGACAAGCGTGAATTTTCAAGGCAACAAAAGGATACAGCTTCATAATAAATGTGTTAGAAAAATACGTATTTAGTTCACAATATATTAGCCACTTGTTGTTCTGTTTTACGCGTCATGATCCTTTGTATATTTCATTTGTGCTTAAGAAAACTTTTGAAAACCTGCAGGTAGAAAGCTGCCATTATCACTGCGTTGTGTACGTGCTGTATATTGTACCCCGCTCACCATCAGGTCGTGTACAGACCGTAACATACTCGTACAGATACAGGAAGAACGTACACAACCGACAGTGTAATACGGATATTATGCTAAGTAATTGCCGAGATTTCCTTGAATCCTTATCTCTTATCGTCGTTCATTAAATTATTACTCAGACTGGTTGAAAGCTAGGATGAAAGTCCTTTCAGTGCCCTATGGAATCTTATACAAATTGACAGTACGATTTCATTCTGCCACGTAGGTGTTCGAGATCCAGGCACATGAACGATGTTGTAGTTTTGGTGTTTCATCATGTTGCCTCTGACATGATGAAGCACTTTAGCTTTTCTGGCCGGTCTGCGGTTAGTATTTAAACACACCTCCACAAGAAAGTTTGTAAAAGCACAACAAACAATCTATCGCTATACTATCTTGCGTATTAAATATATATATTATTTCGCTATACAAACTGCCGAAAGAAACTGCAGCGGAAAAATGATTGAATTCGTTATTGGTGCTGTGGTGCTCCTTTTGGCCGTAGCGTATTTTCGCTCCAGCCGGCACAAAAACTTACCACCGGGACCGCCAGGTACGCAAAGACTATGCAAGTAATGCAACTACTTAAATTTAACTGTCAGTCAACTGTTATACTATTGCTATACTCTACTCTGTATGTAAATTTTGCAGCAGCTGATGCAAATGGCTACAGCTTCTGAAAATGACAATTTGCAGAAGCAGTAATACATGTTGAAGTAGGCATGTTGAAGTACATGTTGAAGCAATAATTCTGACTAATAGGCATCATCCCACAATAATACCAATATTATTATTGTGCATTATATAACTACGAGCATCTTGTGCAGTATTAAGCCGACATGCATTTTAAATTATGTATTTATGAACTGCCTCCCAACAGGTTTGCCTTTCGCCGGTCATATTCTGGAATTCACCAAAGACCCGCCATTTAAGAAGTTTATGGAATGGAGCAAAAAATACGGGGATACCATTATGGTGTACATGGGCAATCAGTATCCAATGGTGGTGATGCACGACTACGACACAATGAAGAAGGCCTTCAACGAGGAAGTTAATGCCGGGCGAGATCAGCGCTTCCTGTTCAACGACTTCTTCCAAGGGCATGGTAAATCTATGTCAATTTGATCTACTTTGAACGGAAACTTGAAATAATTGTAATATGATTTTTCCGCCAATCAACCCTTTATTAAACTAAGTGACTATTAATTTACTTCGGATTACGGACGCGTACGCAAACGTATTACGTAGTTGTAATGAGAATTACCGACTTCATGTATCAACTAACCGTATCAACTTTTACAAACTCAACCGTTAGTGCTTTCCAGGTTTAATTATTAGCCAAGGGGATTTGTGGAAGGAACATCGGCGTTTTGCCATCTCCACTTTACGCGATTTTGGCATGGGCAAAACCTGGCTGGAAGATAACATTATCGCCGAAGTAGAAGATATGTGCGCGGTGCTGCGAAAGCAGAATAAACAACCGTTTGACCCCAAAACATTGCTGTCTCACTCCGTGTCCAATGTTATATGCGCTCTCGGTAGGTTTTGTAAATTTCTTGGAAAAAACTTACGGAAGTACGACCTTTTCTGACCTCTACTGCCTCAATCCAAAATCGGTTTATCTTGATTTTCGATAACATACTGTGTCGCTGGTAAAGAACACGTGTTTGTCTGCAGTTTTTGGCAAACGATTTGCGCATACGGATGCCAAGTTCACCAAACTGGCTTCGCTGTTTGCTGAGAATGTCCGAATAACGGGACCCACGACGCAGGTAATACAGACGTTCCCATTCCTGCAGTACATTCCCGGTCGATTCCGCAACTCCATCAAACACGCTTGGAAAAACATATACGAGTTGTATGGATTCGCTAAACACTTGATTGATGAACACCAGAACAAGTTCTCCTCGGAAGAAGTCGATGACTACATCGATGCATTCATTAAGGAAGGGAAAAAGCAGCAAGAAAAAGGAGTTGTGAATAGCACATTCACCGGTAGGCGATAAATTATATAGAGCAATAATGCAGTAACTAACGATAAGTACTGGATTTTCGTGCACAATATGTGTGAACAGTTACTGCAAGTGAATTAATATTATTACTTCATGCAGTAGAATATTTTGCTGGTCATATCTATACAAGTATATTTTCGTAGAAGCTGACATGCAAAATTGTTGCTATGCTTTACAATAGTGCGGCTTTGAGCCTGAGCTAAAACCATGTACAGCTGTATACTCTGTACTTGTACATGTTGAACTCACCATCAGCCAGTTGTAGTACTTGTATGCGCTGTCACTGTTAAACCTATGTTAATCAGTAAATGATACTTTTTTATAGCATATTAAAATCAAATTCGGGAAGCGTTATTTATAAGACTGTTGGAATAATTTTTCAGGTGATTTTTGCGTTTTTATAAATTTCTGTTTGACATAAGAAAATTTATTGATACTGCACTTTAATTTTCCGCTTACGTTATCGGTACTCAGTGCATCTGACTCTCACTATGATAAACGAGTTGAAAGTCAAACCCTCTTTGATCGCCACAATCTGTCGGGCAAAGTACTGTAGAACAAACTTTCGTAATATCTTTGATAAGATTAATTGGTTTACTGTCTCGATTGCCTCCTTGCAAGACGCTTGTATTTACGGCTTTTATATATACGTACAAGACTGCATTTGATTGGGAACATCCACAATGCCCATGTTTTTATAATAAAGAAGTCAAACACTCGTAGATAAGCAGCTAGTGACCTCGGTGCTGAATCTTTTCGCTGCCGGAACGGAAACAACATCCACAACCACCCTATGGAGCTTAGTTTTCCTAATCGAAAACCCGGAAGTGATGCGCAAAATGCAGAAGGAAATCGATGACAACATTCCGCGCGATCGGCCTGTACGAATGGATGATAAAGGTCAGCACCGATCTAGTCTACCATAAGCTACGATTATGGCATATCATATTTAACAAACCGTAATTACAGGGCTTCTTCCGTACACCGAGGCGGCAATTCTGGAAGTGCAGCGCTGCGCCAGCTTGGTTCCCATTGGTGTTCTGCATCAGACGTTGGCCGACACGGTAATCGATGGATATACTGTGCCAAAGGGAACTCTGTTGGCGCCCAACTTGTACAGCATTCACCATGATCCGCGTTACTGGAAAAATCCTGACAAGTTTGACCCCACCCACTTCCTGGATGCCAGCGGAAAGGTCACCCATCCCACCGGATTCGCGCCGTTTCAAGTTGGTACGCTCGCACGCAGCTTTTTCAGCCGAAGAAAAAAACCAGAACGAAATCGGTTTCTCAGTATGATGCCGGTCAATTTATCAGCATACGCGCAAAAAAGAAATAATAACAGAGCATGCTAACCAAAGCTACGTGGTCGACACATCGAGCCTTCAACTTACGCACATGGTTCTTTATGCACGGCACACAGAGGTTAATTTGCACAATTTTGGCTGAATAACAATTTTTGCAGGCAAAAGGTCATGCTTAGGAGAAGCCTTGGCTAAGATGGAGCTGTACCTCTTCATATCCAACATCGTGAAAAACTTCAATTTGGAAAATGCACCTGGGAAGAAGGTGTCTCATGAGGATTATGTTGCCAGTATTGTTCTTGCTCCGGCCCCGTACAAAATTGTATTTGTGCCACGATAGATGAGAAGCACCAGATGGAGGCGCACTTAAGTATTCGATAAGGTTTTTCGTAACGAGGTACTGTTTCGAAATTGGTGCTCTGTGTTAATAACAAATCAGTTTTCTTTTCTGATCGTTTGTTTTGTACTGATATTATGAACACGGTACTACCGTGTTCAAATTTTGCAGTTTTATCGTCGGCGCCATGGTTTTTTTCTTTAGTTTTTACTTTTTAACTATAATATTGCAATGTGCTACAAAGCGAGTTTTTTGCTTGCGGCAAATTTGCCTGTATAAAAAGGTAGCACTTACCCTTTGCAACAACACATTATTTATCTGTAGATTACGCACTCTTGTGATGCTAAAAACTCTTACTGTTGGTATTAAATTACATTTTCACTGTTAAATACCGCGATGGTGTACTGTATTTTAAATTTCATTAATTACCGGTGTGGGTTTCTTAAAGGTCTGCTCACGTTAGCTAAACGTTAGTTAAAGGCCAAAATTCGAACAGTGTTCGAATTTTGGCCTTTAACTAACGTTTAGCTAACGTGTTTTTTACAAACTGTTTTACTCGGGCATGAGTAAAGGAGGTACGAGTACAAAAGTAAAAAGGCAACTTTTACACGGCTTAACTTTTACTTATTAATATATATAGAAGAAGAGTAGTATATAGATATACATAATACTTATATAGGTGCTACCGGTACATGTACTATAACTTATAAATGTATGGACATTTCAATTAAGTGGGAGTGCCATCAGAATTTACTAAAGAATGAAGACGAAACCAACTGAAAAAGCCAGTATTTAAACTGTGCAATGCTGTTATGGACTCCGAACGCTATCGTTTTTTTGGCGATTTGTCGACCACTCTTCAGTGTAAGGACAGTATTAATACCGAAAACTCCCATCCATTTAAATGGGTCCAGTGGGAGTGGACAGTGCACATTGAACAAGTTAAACCTTTTAATTGTGATAAAGCTTAAGCTTACTGCTTTGGTTTGTATTAAATTTGTATTTACATACTGACTGGTGACCCATAAAATTAATTTTTATACATAGCATTTCCTTTACTTCCGTACTGCTATGATGTATTGTACAAAAGATGCGAGGAGTATGTACTACGCGGTACGGTATTATATACTGCAGGTACTGTATGTCAGTACGTATAATACGCGGCACGCTCATCAGCCTCCTGCTTGAAAAGACAGTGGATGTACCGTATTGTCGTTAAAGCCGATGAACTTTCAAGCTGCGTTTCATGATCTCACAGTGAACCACATTATGCATAAAACGTTCAAATTCTTATAATTATTCTATTTTTAGAGGAGCGTTCATCCAGTTTGCGGTTAATCTGTTATGCTTTGACTGTGATCCTCTTTGTACATCTGACCATTTCTAACCAGTAAAATGGGTAACGCAAGTAGCACCAAAACAGCAGAAAGCGACAACATCCCCAACACCGATGAATGGCCCACGGTTCCTGCCGTCGACCCGTACGCCATTCCAAGCGCGCCTGGCCACGATTCCTCCCCATCGCCATCCTTATCACCGTCGTCCAGTTTTTCCTCATTGTCCGATGAACTGCAGGACGAAAACGTCATCCAGGCTGGCACCAACACGAAAGCCACGATTAATCTTGCGGATGCTGCTCTGTCGGTTGTGAACACCACCGCCTGGATGAAGGCAGCGGAATGGAAAGTGGACGGCCACGCCATCCGTCCGGGTGATCTGCTGGAGTTTTCCATGGGCCGTACATTCCTGCCGCTCAGTCATTTCGGAGTGTACCTGGGCAATGGCCTGCTGGTGCACGTCAGCAGTGGCCGCGGTCTGCACTCCCATCACCACAGCGCCACCGCCCCGGGGACGGCCACCACGCGCTGGACGAAGCACGCGGCCAGCGTCCGTCCGCGTCTGCACGTGATGCTGGGCCGTACGCTGCTGGAGGAATCGCCGGAACGTGGGACAACTGACGACGGCCAGCATTACATCCGCATTGACCATATCGTTCGCGTGGCGGGTAAGGGGCAGTTCCGCGTCAACAATCAGACCAAGTTGAAGGAGAATTATGAATTTGAGGAGCGGACACTGCAGGAGATTTTTGGTTTGGTGGCGGAGCATGCCAATCGTCCGTTTACGTTCAGCATTATGACCAGCAACTGCGAGCATTATGCTACGTTCCTGCGCTACAAACCGGTTGATTGGGAAGGACCTCCGACGGACAGCTGGTGGAATGGAAGCTCGGTGGCGAAGTGCATGGAGTATGGATCTCAGATGAGTGATTTTTAATGTGACGATAGGACGTCATGTACCGGTTCTTTTCCCTTGATTTGGAAAAGCGTTTTTATACTGGTGTGTTGCCCATCGAAAATGAATGGCTGTTTTACTGGTTCTAATTATTGTAAAATGGCTTTAAAGCCTGAATGCTTTTTTTGTTTTACTCTCAGTGGATGAGGTGCTGAGTTTGTACTCTGCCGTCGCATGTTTGCTCTTATTTAAAAAACATTCGTGGTTGGCATTGCAGTAATATTAAAAGCGAATGGGTACTGCATACAATGAAGCAAGCCAGTACAATAAAGCAGATCTTACGTGTACGCACTACCTACATTAATACAGCTTTTATTAATACTTCTACCGTTTGATTACTTATTTAACCTGCGGGGATGCCTTAATAGTTAATAACCGTTGAAAAGGTCACTTCAGAAAACGATTTGTGGAGAAACTGCATCACTGGAGTTGATGGCAGACACAGACACCAAAAACTGGCCGTGTACAGTGAGTGTATCAACCATAGAAGTAGAAGTATAGGAAAGATCGGCAATACGGTACGAGTATTAATTTGATTACAGTACTTTTGTTTGTTACAAAAAAATCACATTACAGTACTAACAGTGGTACTCGTGGTTTATTGCTTTGAAATTTTTACCGCCATAAGTGACACACTTTCGAACTGGCACCATGAGTCTAATATTATAATTATTCTTTTGTTATCGTAGATATATTCGCAACATTGCGCATTTAATCATTATTCGGATTGTCAGTGATATGAGCTCTTTCACTAACGACAATGGACCTTATCGCATTCGACATAAACTGATTTTAAAGCCTCGAGTCTAGGAACACGATCTCCCATACTTGAACTGCGAATTGCAGGTAGCTTAAAATCGCGTTGTATTTAAGAGCGTTTTTTGAAGGCTATTTTGTAATAAAAAAGGGAATAAGATTCCTGCGCACTAAATAAGATATAAATAAGGGAATCAGATATAAATAATACTAGCAGTCTAAAAAATGATCGAAGTTCTGATTGGTGTCACAGCATTTATTTTGGGAATGATTTATATACGATCCTGGCGACCACGAAATCTTCCACCAGGACCATCAGGTAAGTCAGCCACTTGTGGAAAGCTGAAAAGCATTTATATGCCGGCAAAAACTTTGTGAAATTATTGTGATAGCTCTTCACTTAACGAGACGTAATTGGCATTTCTAAGAAAAATTATCGATAGTGTATGTATCTGCAGCATATTCAAAAGAGAGCGATCGTAAAATGCTTGCTTGCGCTTGCCTGCTTTTGTCAACAGTAATCGTATGCCTGATCGATCGATTGATTGACCGAAACTGTCACATACGAGTGCTTCTCTGATTCGCTTCGGCTTCTTTCAACACAGTTTCTTTGGCTCGCTCCATGACCTTTGATAGCTCAGCGTGATTTTTTGGTTTTGCTAGCTGTAAGTTTTCTGAAAGTACGTAAACGCTGGTGTTTTAGCAATTCACTAAACTTTGTTAAAGGACTACCAATTGTGGGGAACATTTTGGAATTCGATAAAGATCCACCTTTCAAAAAGTTCATGGAATGGCGGAAGACATACGGCGACACAATCCTAGTGCACATGGGAAATCGGTATCCAATGGTTGTAATGCACGATTATGATATTGCAAAGGCGGCCTTCAGTGACGAAGCTACGACTGGAAGAGACCAAAGATTGATCTGCAACCCGTTTTTCCAAGAACAAGGCAAGTCGGCAGTTGATGATGCCTAAATATGTGTCTGCAGCGTAAGCACTCCACCGTGCACACCGAGTCAAACACACCGAGTCAAACACCGCTAGATACCAGTTTTTTGCAGTAGAATGTGTATAATTGTCTCAAAGATTCGCTAATTGATTAAATTTTGTAGTATGTATGTCTATAAAATTTTTTTTCTGAACAGGCTTAATTGCGAGCCAGGGAGAACTGTGGAAAGAACATCGCCGATTTGCTATCTCTACATTGCGTGATTTCGGTATGGGGAAGAGCTGGATGGAGACTAACATCCTTGCAGAAATCGAAGACATGTGCGGAGTGCTGCGAAAGCAGAATAAGCAGCCGTTTGACCCGAAAACATTGCTATCGCATGCCGTTTCAAATATCGTGTGCGCTCTTGGTATGCAAACCACCCAACCATTGCCAAGTTACAGTGTTACTTTCACATCGACATTTATGACTGGTTTGAAACAAATAATGACTTTCTTGGGCGAATTGCAGTGTTTGGCCAACGATTTGCTCATTCTGACGCTCAGTTTACGAAACTAGCAGCGCTGTTTGCCGGACGGAATGTTCGTAATACCGGATTGATGTCGCAATCAAGGAAATTTGTCCCCGAACGGTTTCGTCGTTCAATTGAGAACGCTTGGAAATGCTGCACCCTTTTAGCTGTGACATCCCAGGTAGGCGGTAGCCTATTCGTGGCGCTTCGTCCCTCCCATTAGGTTACTAACAGCGACGATAATAACACGATAAGCTACGCACTAAAGTTCGTTTAATATCTTATACGCAGTATACGAGCATATATATAACGAAGGCGGCTGAAACAATTCGTTTCGTCCAGAATATCCATGAACTATTTGGATTTGCTAAGCAACTTATCGAGGAGCATAAAGGAAGATTTTCATCCGAGAATGTTATCGACTATATTGACGCTTTTATGAAGGAAGCTGAAGAGCAGCAGCGAAAAGGAACGGTTACCACATTCACCGGTAAACATACATGCAGAATTGAGTCAATTGACTGTGTCCTTCGTCTCGTGTTTTCAACTGTTTTGGTTAACACTTGGCATTACTGTACAACACTTCTTGGCGTCCCAAGGGTAATCGTACCGTAATAAATACAACTGTACAAGTATACAGTCTTTAGACTGTCTGCTATGTGCACACACACAAGTCCCCTTTAACTTGCAAAACACTACGAGTAGGCGGAACAGTAATTATTAATACTGCTGCCCAAGTTTAATATATATTAACTTTGTATAACAAAGTAGCGAAGTATGCGTAGTATTTAATCAATTAGCAAAGTATGCGTAGAAGTATGCAGTTAAAACGACAACGTGAGACAGTTTCCGAAATAACGCTCCGAAATTGCTGTGCTATAGATAAGCAACTCGTGACCTCAGTGCTTAATCTTTTTGCCGCCGGAACCGAAAGCACTTCGATGACGATTGTCTGGGCCTTTCTCTTTCTCTTGGAGAATCCTAAGATCTTACACACAATGCAAAAAGAGATTGACGACAATATACCACGCGACCAACCGGTTCGGATGGACGATAAAGGTCAAAGTTTTAGGCTAAACAACACTCGCCTTCTGAAGCTCTTGACTGCTTCGTCTGGGAGTCCAAAACGCTATTGTTGACTTCTACGTGAAACCATTATAGGTCTCGTGCCATATAACGAGGCAACAATTTTGGAAGCGCAACGCTTTGCCAGCTTGATTCCTTTGGGAATACCGCATCAAGCCATGACCGACACGGTCATCGGTGGCTACAACGTGCCAAAGGGCACCGTTCTGGTACCCAATCTGTACAGTATGCATCATGATCCACGCTATTGGAAGAATCCATATAAATTTGACCCCTGCCACTTTTTGGATACTCACGGAAAAGTAGTCATTCCTCCAGGTTTTGCACCTTTTCAAGTCGGTACGTTATAATTATGTGATTTTCATTAACTTTGATTGCTGGTGTGACTTAATGGTGTGCATTATCCAGGCAAAAGGTCTTGTCCGGGAGAAGCTCTGGCGAAAATGGAATTGTACCTCTTCATCACGAATATCGTTAAAACTTTGATTTACTCAATGCTCCGGGACAAAGTGTTTCCCATGCTGATCATGTCGCCAGTATTGTACTAGCTCCGTTTCCTTATAAAATAGTTTTTGTACCACGATAAAACCGTAATTACCGCAACGTATGAATAAGATGACCGCAACAACACTGGAAGCAGTTTCGTGAACAATCAATGATTTTTATCGGATTTTTTTTGCCCTCTTTGTAATAGCGTTTGTTGTCACTACTTTCAGACAGGGAAGACCTGAGTTTGCTGTTTTGCTGACTTATGTACAGTGCGGCGGAAAGACTTGATTTCCATTATTTTTTAAACTGTTAGTTGAAATGATTAACCGTTCTTCGGTACAATACTTCAAAAAAACGCAAAACATTCACGCGAAAAATGTTACTGTAAAAATGTCATTCTAACCCAGACAAATGTGACTGCCTCCCTTTCTCCGACTGCATACCGAATTTCTGTATAGCATGCCCTTCACAACCTGATATTCATATCTTCGCACTTTCCACTCAGAAGTGCGGAGTTAAGCCTGTTTTATGATTTTCTTCAAATCGTCAACGTTTTACTGAGTTCTTCGTCGCTTGTTTCTTTTTCTAACCGTTTTTTGACTGTTTTAATCTTTTTTTACATTTTTAGCGTTTCGTATCACGTTTTATATTTACTTTTTTAAGTTAAGTTTTATTCGAAGCCAGCCAGATGAGGTGTTTGAGTTTTGTTAGTGTGCCTGTCGCCGCTGTGGTACTCTTCCAAGCAGCGATTAATGGGGCCATTTTCGGGGGGATGTTCGGCGTGGCAGTGGAGGAGCCGTGTCCATCTGGCCACTTTCGCTGTAGTAACGGGAAGTGCTATGTAAACGATATGTACTGCCGGGATGGGTGTATTCTGCGAAAGTACCGCTGCGACCGCCTGCGTGACTGCGAAGACCGCAGTGACGAGGCCGGCTGTGGGACAACAGTACCCTGGCAACCCTGCAACGGTAACCCTGCGATAACGACACGAAATGTTATCCCACCGAATGGCAGTGCGATGGCAGGGCGGACTGCAAAGACGAGAGTGACGAGGATCCTGAGCGCTGCGCTAAACCCTGTCCGGAAGACGAGTGGCGGTGTTTTCGCAGTGGCCGTGGCATGTGCGTTCCGTTTTATTATCTGTGTGATGGTAGTCCCGACTGCGTGCCAGGCATTGGCGAAGACGAAGATAAAGTTCTGTGCGCCAAGCGGAGAAAGAAGGGCTGCTACGATGGGGGGCGGATGTGCGCCAGTAAGAGAGAGTGTGTACGTGAGGATGCGTGGTGCGACGGCGAGTACGACTGCTACGACCAATCAGATGAGATGAACGAAGAGTGCGGGTACAATGCGACAGCGGTCAGTACGACAGACAGGACCACTGCGCTGACACAGATACCGTCGTGTCCGATTGATGCGTT